AGAGAGAGAACGCTAACCTTGCTCAAGGCGACTTCTGGTGTGGAGGACAGGAAGGCGGGTGGGGAGGCGGCTATTGCTTGGAGGGAGAGTCCCCCTCCCTACAGGAAGCCATGACCACGTGTCACAGCAGGGAAAATGGCCGCAGATCCTGTTTGTCACCTGATCTGGCGTTCACGAACGGCTGCAAAATTTTGCGAACGGTGCTGTTCGTGACCCGAATTGGTCATGAACAGAAGCGTTCGTGACCCGAGGTACCACTGTACACAGAACTGTGTAAGGATGGATTAAGTCTTAATTTCCAAAAGGGCTATCTCATCTTTCTTTTCCTACTCCAGAATGAGGGAAGGAAGGGGAGGGGGCTAGAACAAGAGAAAGCAAGACAAGAATCAAAGGCATCACAGAACCATAGTTTTTTGACAAGAGAGCAATAAGCCACTACAGTAAAGTAGAAAGGGATGAATTCACTCCAATATAGGCAGATGGCACATAAACTCTACATGTACTGGGTTTAGGAATATTTGCCAGAGATTGTTATGCAGAAAACCACGAACTTCCAAATTCTCTTCATAAAACTTTCTAAATGGGAGAGGGGAAGCTTCAACTTCTGACTAAGATAAAGTGAAAAATATACAAAAGTTACTGATTACTGAGATTCTTAATAAAACTATCTGTATGAAAATGCTATGAATTTGTATCCATTTTCACAATAATTTTATATAAAACTACACAGAGAACTCCTCGACACATTTCTTCTTCACATTTTTCTCCCTGAAATATAAGTTATTTTACTTGCAGAAAGTGGGAGAGAGTGAGAGATTATCTCCTAGTTTTAATTTTTTGTGTGCTGTTTTCAAGACAGCAATTTTAGGTTATACTCTCATTTTGGACACCAAAAGATCTTAAAATAGCTAGTACTGAGGAGCTTTTTATACCACAGTACACTGCTTCCTAAATTTCAATATTGATGAATTCGTTTTACTGGGTCTTGAACTAGGGACATGGCAACATCACACATGTATACAGATGCACAAATGCATTCAGTGACTGGTTTAATCATGGTTTAATGTCCATCATTGGATTGACCATACAATACACTAATGGTTTACAGACAACAAGAGCTATATTTATATAATAAACAAACCACATATATGATTAAGATGTTCTGTGAACCAACCTGCAACTACAGACAGAAAACACCCACCTTTCTTTATAGTCTCCATCTGATTTTTCTGTGGAGCTTGTAGAAGAGCTCAGTTCATCTTCAGTACAGCAACAAGTTAAGCTTTTCTGCTGTTGAAGACAGATTTTCAAGTGCAAGAAAACAGAGAAACATAACAAGGCATAGTTTGATAGAAATGTCTCTTGCATACATCTAAGTGAACTGTTTTTTGAAATACATTTTGCATAGAAGAGAGATATGATTTTAGCCCAATTTAGGTAATACTAATAAAATACTTTTGTAGAACACAGTACTTGAAAGCATTGCAAAATTCAAGCTGTTTTCAGTGATGATGGAAGGTTTCTATTGGCATTCCATAAGAGGACATACCAGAGTTTCCCTGAGGGGGATCTCCTACATCAGAAAGTCCCCAGGTCTGGGCTGGGAGCTATTTCTGCAACACCCTCCTGCAAAAGGATGCTTTGACCAATGTGGAGGTTACTCGTATCTATAAAGGAGAACAAGGATCATGCCCTTTGAACAATAGCAGCCCTGTTAGGTGGGTTGGGCTGAGAGAGAGTGACTAGCCCAAAGTCACCTAGCTGGCTTTCATGCCTACAGGAGGCCTAATATAGTAAGTCACAGTTTCCTGTGAAGGCTTATTTTGTATTTTTTGCAGGCTAGTTTGATCCATCAGGAAACTATGACCACTGAGACTTTGTGACCCAGGTTAAACTGTTGGAAATAGATTGTGTGAGGCTCTGAATTCTTCTATTCTACTCAGGTAGATGATTTGTCTAATAACTCTTTGATGATTTGTCTAATATCTCTTTTATGCCATTCCTCCTCCCTTTGGGATAGAAAGTAGGAAATAACTCTTTCTGGCCCTGTGGAAAACCAAATTTACTTTGAGTATAAAAGTTTTGTGATTGGTGGGTGTTACCAAGAGGTCCACTGTTGGCCTCCTGAGATGCTTGAGATTTGTTCAAGTGCTCTGGGATTCAGGTTCCATTCACCAAGACCCAGGTCCCTAGCTGAGCCAATCTGCAGTTGTGTTGTGGATTCATGTTTTGCCATGAGAGGTAGCACATTGTCTTCAACCCAGCATAGAAGCTTGGCTGCTTCTTTCATCAACTGTCTCCCTTTCTTTTAATATTGGCTTTGGTAGCCATCCATTAGCAGGAGTTTTAGGAGAGACTGGAACTTGCTCAGAGCTGGTTGTGCTGCGGGCAACTCCAAAAGGTTCATATTGCACTTTTCTGCTTCTTTTATCCAGACTCCCTGAGTTGCTTGGCCCAGACAATGCACCTACCTCCCCCATCCCCTGAGGCTGGCGTCTGTGGTAAGCTGGATCTGGTACAAGAGTCACAGCTCCATTTCATTGGAGAGAGCTTCTAAGAGACTTGAGACAAATCTTCCTCTTCAAAGGGATTGCTAGTCATCCCTGTGACTCTTTTGCTATCAGGTTCTGGAAGGGGAGAAACGTCCATTGCAGGAGGCATGAGTGGAATCTCACCTGTGATACTGAATCTGTACAAGTGTTGAGACTGACAAGAATCATGGAATCTGGACTACTGATTCAAAGAGCTGGTGTGATTAGTCCTCGATGGTGCCTCCTTTCTCTCCTCTAATAGGAAGACCAGATCCTTTTTTGTTTCAGAATTGTGCCCGGGTGTTGTAGGTTTGTGATCTGGTTGAAGAGTCCTCTTCTCTTTGTTATTCAGGAACCCCAGATCTTCAAGGGTTTGTATCATGATCCAGCTATCTTTCTTCCTTGTTTGAATGATGGGATTCAGATCAGTAAGTCATCCAAGATCTAAAGTGAGCTGTAACAGTCACCATTATCTTCATGAATACTCTGGAAGCTGATAACAGGCTGAATGGGAAGGCCTTGTGTAAGCACTGGTTACCCTGGTATTCAAATCTCAGGAATCTTCTATGTGATGGATGGAAAGGGATGTGAAGTTCAAGTATGGCCAGGACATTCTTTTCTGGAGATATGTTATTATGGCTATCAGATTTTCCTTCTGGAACATGGTACTTGGTCAGGTGGCTCACTTGCTTCAGATCCAGTGTTTTTGGGGGGAGAATAGTGAAGAATATGGAGGAGGAGCTAGAATGTCTGTCACATCTTGGGACTTGTTTGATAGCCTACATGCCCTGAAGGTAGTTTATGGCCTTTATAATTAGTGCTACCCTTCACTACACCCAGACCCACCCATCAAACTTAAAGACCTTATTCAATGCCTCATGAAACAGGCAGCACATATGGAATTATTAATCATTGGGAATATATCTTCCACCAGCAGGTCCAACAGGAGATCCATAGGTTGGATTGCAGAATCTTGCAGGCATTCTTGAGTAGTTCAGGAAAGTCTGCTTTCTGGCAAATCCTCTTCCTCATCTGAGTGGTCCTGATGGATTCTGAGTCATATGCCACATAAGGGAGGGGCCAAGTATCTTTCTCTTACTTGGTGGCATGATTTTTCATTCTGCAGTGTTAATTTAGTCTTTGGTCTCTTCAGTGGGGTATGGAAAGGAAGCATCTGAGGAAGAGGAGGAGAGGGGAATGGGGATCCAGGATCCATTCTGCTTCCTCCTGTCCCCTTCCCGAGCACCATCCCAGGTGGAGAACCTCAAGATGATGTTTCCCACCTTCCCCTGGGGTGCATGGTCTGTGGAGTGGGCTCAATCCAATGAGGCCATGGCCCAATAATGAATTCATGGTGAACCCCAGGAGTCTCTAGCATGTGGAATGGCACATGTCTTTCAGGGAGCTAGATTAGGTGGCAGAGCCAGCTGAACAACTCCAGCACTTCTATTCTTTCAGTGAAGGATTTGGATGTCCAATGCTGCCAGTTTCTGTCTCCACTAGTACCTGGGCCATCTGACTCTCTGGAGGAGCAGTTATAGACCCATAAGAGGTTGTGAGTGGATGCAGCTCATGATCAGTGGTTTGATGCCTGCAGAATGAATGATATTTTGTAGCAAGATGTGAGGATGGACATTGCCATGTTGCTGGGGGTTGATGCTCTTGCTTGGAACTGGGAAAATACTATCCCCCCAAAAGGAACCTGCGTTAGAACAATTCTAAGCCCTGTCTTCAGACTGAGTGGGAAGGAGATATCCACTTTAGGATGCCCTGCCTCTGCGAATAAAAAAATGGCAGTAAGATTTCCTAATATAATCTTCTCTCTTCATAAGTATCCCTATGTAGATATAATAATCTAAACAGTAGAAATCCCGTGTATGGATGGCAGGCACATCCTTTTTTTTAATATTCTGCAATACTGTAAATTGCTTTTAGATATACTTAACATATGACAACTACTCACCTTATCAGTGCTGGGTTCTGAGATAAACTGAGCAATCTGAATACAACTGTCTTCCCTTGCAAGTTTTGTTTCTGCTGGTGCATTATAAGATGCTCGTCTTACAGAAGGCCCTGAAAAGGACCAATTAAAAGTATGTATAGTTTATCCTTATTTTACTTAGTACATGGACTAATTATGAAAGCAAGATCAAAAGCCTGACAACTGAAATAGGCCTTTCTTTAGTTCAGTTTAACATTCATTCATTCATTCATTCATTCATTCATTCATTCATTCATTCATGTATGAGATTTATGTCCTGCCTTTCCTTCAGGAATTCAAAGCAGTTTACAATCCTTTTTTTTTTCCTATAGCAACTCTCAGAGGTAGGTTGGGCTGAAAAAGATTGACTAGCTCAAAGTCACTTTATAAGCTTCCATGGCTGAAGGGAGATTTGAATCGGGGTCCCTTCAGTCCAATACTTTAAACATTACAGCTTAACCCCTTCCTCCCTATTGATATTTTTCCAACTGTCATGAAGGGAAAGTTTAGTTTCTAGTTCACGCAGTAGTGATATGATCATTGTGGCCAGCCACAAAGCATGCATTTCCCAGAAAGCAAACTGATAAGGCAAAAAGGAATTTGTCAAAAACTTCATTACTAAAGACAACAGCTCAAAAATACCAACTCATTGTTTAAAGCAATGCTCATTTCACAGTCAGCAGATTAAGAAGGCTAATAGGTAATGTAGCCAGGAAACTAAAAGTACAAGGCAGAGATGAAATCAGAGTCCCCATCTTGTGTCCCTCCCCTCATTGTAATACAACAGAACATTCCCTTTACAGAAGGCAAACTGATGAAGCTCACAGAGAGGCAAAATACAGGACCAAGATGAAACAAATGAATTAACACAGATACATGGCACATTCAGGAAAAACACAGCAGAAACAAGAGATTGTCTTGTCGCTCCCCACCCTCTTTATGCAAGAAGATATATTCCCTGCCACATGTTTAGACTCAAGGATGCTCCTTCCCACTTCTCCGGGTGCCATTTTTCTCTTGGCAGCTGTGAATCTTTTAAAAACATTGAGCTGCAACAACCCAATGTTTTTATTTTCCAAGACTGCAGCATGCCAGTTTCCCAGTTTAAGTTTTCTGTTAAATTAGGAAACCTTAAGAAACAATTTCAGAAGGCAGAAAGAGCCCAAGAGGTGCCAAGAAATGAATCTGTGGATATAACAGTACAGTTTCCACTGTTGCAGTAAGGCCCCCTTTGAGGGAAAATTATTACTGAAAACTTGTCATAGGTAAGGTGTGTGTATGTATGCATATAAGTAATTAAGTAGTAATATTTAAAGGGAAAAAGGCAAAGAAAACTATTACCAGAAGGAAGCATGTCTTCTTGGGATTGCTTTAATCTCCTCCTTTCTCGAGCTGATAATGGCCGATGCTTTGAAAGGAGCAAATGTAATCTTGTCATTGATTATATATGGCAATGATACACCTTTTTAAAATAAACTAAAATTGTACAACTAAGTGATAGGTCATTAGGTATATCTCCTCATTTATTATACAAGACTGATGAAGCCACTCTGGGAAAGAATTCCACTGCTCTATTGCTTTGCAATCCCATCTTAAATAGTTCTACACAGTTCTGGCAATGTAACATCAAATTAGCATATAAATGATACTATTCTAATTGAGTAATTTCTAACAAAGAACACAAATCAGTTGTACATAAAGATATCTGGCACAAACCTTGGAATTTTCTACTTCAATGCTTTTTGACTTTTTCAGAACTTTTGCAGCATGCTGCTGGTCTGTGTTAACTTCTTTTGTCTTTACATTCACATCAGGAAAAGAGGACAGTTGTCGAGGACCAAATGCTGCAATCTTAACAGGAGAAACAGCATCTTCATAAAAGGTTTCTTCCAAAGAAACAAGTACAGTATAAGAGTTGCAATCCCCCAAGAATCCACGGAAGGATTCTACAAAGATGGGGCTGGTGATTGTCTAGAAAGCGCTGAATATCAGCCTTCAGCAACCCTATCCGACTTGGCCAACGCAGACTGTTCCTAGCAATATTTCAGAAACATCTGGAACACCACAGGTTATCCAGCCATGGATAAGGTTCAGTTCCCAACTTATTACTGTTAATATTCAAATAGCACTTCATTTCATTTTTCACACAGATAAAACAGTGCCATACATCTAGACAGCACATCATGCATTTCTCAATGCAGTAAAGGCAGATGTTCTGTCATTTAGTTCTTTACAGTGTATGCTACAAGCTAACAATTACTGCTAGTTCAGCTTGTACACTGAAATGTGCCAACCTATAAAATTAAGGTTTTTTACTGAACTTTAAATTGAATGTACTTGGTTAACACAGCACAAATCACTAACAATACTATAAGCAATAAACAATACATTAGATCAATACTGAAAGTTATAGATCAAATTAAGGTATAATAATTCTATAGATTAGAAACCTACATTTTGGATATGGAACAAATCTCCATATAACATTATAATCCAACAATGGTTATCAATTAGAATTATATTCTGCATCAGATTTACTTTTTATGTAGGAAGTTATTCCTGACATGGAAGCATACTCTCACAATTCAATGAGCCATTCTTCCAAAGAAGGAATCAGCAATCTTTTCCAGTAGACAGCATATAAAATCCTTTTAGCCATTAACAATGCTAATTCAGTGAATGTTGAAGGTTTAGTGAAATTTAGAAAGAATATCTCAGTTTACAATCTTCAAAATTTGTTCCACTCTACTATGAATAATTTTCCAGTATTGTTAGACTTTACATTGCTACCACATATGAAAAAATGATCCAACATGTTCATTACATTTCCAGCATTTTTTAGAAAAAGAATTATTCATTTTATCAACTAAGTCTGGAATAATGTTCCAACAGTAGAGCGTCTTATTCCAATTTTCTTTATGCATGATGTTCAAAGTAATTTTTTTCTTCCACTGAAATTCACGCTCTTATATTTCTATAACTGTGTTAAGTTCTGCATCCATTTAATCACAGATTCTGAATCTGTTCAGATTCTGAATCTTACTTCAGTAGTAATTTATAGATTGTACCTAATATGTGTTCAGTATTATGCATTACAAGATCTTCAAATTCAGTCAAATCACTCAATGTTCCCCCTTGTTTCTGTAGTTCTTTTGTGGAGCACTAAAGTTACTTCATTCTCAAGGATATCACCTTAGATTTTTCTCTCAATCTTTACCTTGTCCAAGCAGATCTCAGATTGCTCCTGCTTCTTCTGTCGTCGCTGTCGTGACAAGGAAGGCTCATGAATCGATCCTTGAGGCCGAAAACAAGGAGTGCTTATGGGTGGAATGATATCTTTAGCTTCTCCTGAGTTTCCACAGGAGGCTTCATTCTACAAATATATATACACACTTTACAATACTTGAATTCATGCTTTCCAGAATCAAGTACGTACACTTCGAAAGTGTTAATAGGAAGCCAAAATTATTTTTTATCTTAACCAAAATTAGATTCAGTTTGCAAGAAAATCCTGTCACTTTATTTAAAATAAATCACTGACATAATTATACTAGTGTTGCAGACCATAACATTCAAATGCTTACCAAAATTTCTATAGAAACAATTGGTACTAGCAGTTTCTCAGTAGAGTCCAGACTCTGGAAAGAGAGTTTGCTGTATTTTCATTAATACTCATTATTATAATATTAAATAGAATGTGATATAAATGTTAGAAAAGAGCAACATCTCCATTACTGAAGGGAGAAAAAGAACTAACTAGATAGGCACTAAACACAATAGCTGGAGGCCAAAGAAACAGCCAGTAATACCATTTACAGTGGTACCTCGGGTCACGAACTTAATTCGTTCCGTGACTCTGGTCGCGACCCGAATTGGTC